ACTTGTCAAACAAGACTGCCATGTCCCAGCTGGGCAGGAATAAATACTTGATTTTTTTTAAAATGTTTTTATTCTTATTTTATATTTTCTTTATCCAGCAAAATACAGATACAACTCTGCCTCTCTCCACTTGTCTGCTTTTGTCTCTTATTATGTTGCCCCTCACCCCACAGCCTACCCAGCTCTGTTGTTAATGCCAGCCTTACCTGCTCATTTGTCAATTTCTTATTCTAACATCTCTAGGCTTTGTTCCTATTTTCCTTTAGGGTATGTCTTCATTGCAGAGTTACCCAGATATAAGCCTGGGTTATTGCCCCTAACCTCGTTTCCATTCACTCACAAACCCTCTCAGTTGAGTATGGTGCTGCTTCCAACCTGGGCTAGCTGGCCCATCTTGAAATAAAGGCTAAAATGTGAGTGAGGCTTTCACTTGGGCAGGTAACACCACACAGTTTGCTGTGTATACACAGGCTAAACCACTGATAAGCCTCCAGTGCAGGGCCGGCTCTTGGAACCAGCATTCCAAGCATGTGCTTGGGGTGGCGCTTTTCAAGGGGCAGCATTCCTTGTCTGTCCAAGATTTTCTTTTTGTGCCTTGTGTTCTTCTGCCATCAACTTTCCCTTTCCCTTCCATAACCATGCATCGCCCACTGAAACTCTTAAAATGTGTCCTGCTAATTAGTTTTCTCTTTTTGTAAGATCTCTAACTAGTGTTTATTGAGTTCCAGTCAACTGCAATACTTTTTCATTGGTTACATGGTCTAACCATGGTATTTTCAGAATTCTTCTGTAACACCATAATTTGAAGAATTGTAGTGTTTTTTATTATCTATTATTTGAATGTCCCTGTTTCACATCTGTAAATTAACACAAACCAAATATAAATGTTTGAGTCAGAATAAAGTCTTCAGATTTATGTCACTCTTCTCTATTTAGAATAACTTTTAAAATGCAAATGCATTTATTATAGAGTAACCTGGTAGTGACACCTATATTTAGGTTGCTTAACATTTTCCATTATAAAGATTATTGTGAAGTTCTAATACCTCCATTATTAACAACATGCCTTTGAAATTGAATAGGGAGATAGTCTTCAGGCTAGAGAAGTGCCTTTTCTGTGTTCTATGAAATTCCGTCCCGTTTGCTGCAATATAAAATGTTGAAAATCACTGTTTCCCTTCTGCTACTTGTGTTCCTCAGGAAAATGTTGGCAACCTATCAAAATAACTGAATATGAATATTCCAAGAGCAGGTTCATGCCATCACCAAGGCAGGAGTAGCAAAATCTGTAGTGGGAATGTCCAGGAGCTGCTGGTGTAGCTGTAACTGGAGGAGGAGAAGAGGGCCAGTCTAGGTACCCTCAAACCAAACCCACATGTGCCCATAGCCCAGTCCACCCCACCTCTGGGATTACAGCCTGCTGCTGCCAACTAATATAGCGAGTCCTGTAGTTCAAGTGGTATAAGTCCATGCTGCAGTGCTGAAAGTACAGGTTGCACAAAATAGAATTTGTTTTTTTCCTTTTTACTTAAAAACACACATGCACATGCACACACCCCCCTAGCGCATTACATATAAAAAACCTACATTAATTGTTATTTCGGTTTCAAAATCAAGCACTCAAAAGATAGGAAATGCCAGAATTAAGGCTGCTTGTGCAATCTGCATTCCGCTCCCTTGCGTTTATGCCTTATGGATAGAGTCCTAATTACATGACTGTCTGCTACTTTTTCCACAGGACCCCTGCTTTATTCAGTGCACAGGATGGAGGCACAAGGAAGCAGAATTAAGGTTGCGTGGAAACAACCACAAGGGGTGAGAGACGCACTTCACCAGTGGGTTTCAAAGCTATTTGCTGACACCAGAGAAACAATGAGCTCCAGTGGTCACAAAACCTTCGGTCCCTGCTCTCCCAAGTCTCACCCCTTTTGATCCTGTCCTCAGTAGCGTGGCTAGCGGGGTGCAGGGTAAGTAGCCGCTTTCCCCGCCTTTCCAAAAGCGGCTGGAGGAGTGAGGGGGGGCGCAGGCTGGCGGCCCGCAGCGCGGCCCGCAGCGCGGCCGGCACCCATGGGGGGGCGGCAGGC